GCGCCCCCTCTGTTCCCAGGCTCGCTCTCTCCCAGCGCCACGGGCTGGGCTCCCCAGAAGCCCTGTGCGGCAGCGTCTTTGTTTGGGACTTGGCCTTTCTTCAATTCACAGCACACAGAGCGAATTCAGTTGGAGTTCGGGGCAGCTGTGCGGTTGCCTGGGGGATTCTTGTTAGGAGGTGTTGGGGTGGACTGGGGTCCCGCGGCTTCCAGATGCCCCTCTGCCCTTAGCCCCCTCCCCGCCCCAGGCTTCTCTCAGGCCTTGCTGCCCCCGAGGTCGGCCTTGGTGGAGCAGGAAATGAGCAGGGTCCTGGGGGAAGCTGGCCCGCGACGGCTCCCGACTCTAGGGACTAGCATGTGTGACCGCAAAGGGCCTTCCATCTCCCGCTTCTTCCCCCACAGCCAGCACAGGGAAGACTACCATCACTGCCCTGTCCCTCGGACAGTCCCACTGGCCATCAGCTTCCCATTCCCTGGGCAGGGAGAACCAAGATCTCTTCCTAGACTGGGGGACAAGGAAGGCCAGGCAGAGAGCCCACCTGCCTGTGCCCTGGCGGAGGGCAGGGCAACGCTGCCTGTGACGGGCTCTGACCTATCAGCGGGCAGGCATGTGTTATTTCCCAGAGCAACAGGCCTGTGCTTACCCAACCATGTCCTTTTGAAACTTGACTGCAGTGAGCAAGGTTACCCATTTACCCAGTTGCTGGGTCAGGGAAGCCAGGGGAGGCAGGGAGAGCTGACAGGCAAGGCATGGGAGCACCAGCCGTCTAAATGTTAGCAGAGGGGACGTAAATTGGGGGTCTTGAAAGGAGATGATTGCAAGTGTCCCTGTGAGAGGAAGACCTGCAGTGGGGAGGGGGGGGAATATGGAAGGAGCAGCAGAAGGCTGTAGACAGGAGCGTGGAGAGGGGGTCTCAAGGAGGAGGACCGCGGTGGTGGTGGTGTGGGGGTGGGGGTCGGAGGAGGACTGGAGAGATGTGAAGCTGAGAGAAGATGAGATGGGGGAGAGTGTAGACCAGGGAGAGAGGGCTGGTTTGAGGACAGAACTGTGGTCTGAGCAGGCAAAGCAGCCAATGAAAGGAACTGAGACCATCCAGGAGGGTCGGCGCTATGCAGGGCACCGGGTGTGTCCAATAGGGACCCACACTGCAGGGATACCAAAGAGGAGGGTCTGTGGGGACTTCTGAGAGAATTATTTTGGTGGCGGGGAGTAGGAGCCGATCGCCCCTCCTTGGGGACATCTGGACATGCGGGGACCCAAAGGCACAGCCCTTCACTCCCGCTCCAGAGGCTCCTGACGGCCATTACCCCAGTGCCAGCACTTCCCAAGGAATTAGCGGAGGCTTCTGTGGAAACTGCACCTCAGTTCCAGTCCACTCTCTGCCCAGTCCCACGTCCTCACCCTCTCACAGGTGTGTTCCCAAGCAGCTCCCAGTAGGCCTCCTGCATGCTGATCCCCACCTCCATTTCCATGCAGAGTCTGTTTCCCAGAAATCCAACCTGAGCTACGCGGTCACTGAGAAAGGGAGAGTGAAAGAAAGAAAAGGTGGGATGTTTGCTAGACTTGCTGTGGTGATCGCTCTGTAAGGTCTATAAATATGGAATCACTATGGTGTACAACTAAAACTAATGTAATATCGTATGTGGACTATAATGAAAAACAATTTTGAGGAAGAACATAAAGAAAAAAGAAAAGAATAGGTAGAAGGTGATAAGACAGCATGAACAGCCACACGAGCGTTACGGAGACCAGACAGGAGAGAGGCCTGCGCAAGCACAGAACATAGCCTTGCCCTCTGACCTTCCTACAAGACCTCTAATGAAGCAGACCCCCAATGCAGACCCTGACCTCTCATTAAGCAGTTTTAAGAGACAGAGATTGTCAGAAAAAGCGAGGTGGTGTTAAAGGAAAAGACAGAAATGGGGCGCGAGAGGAGAGCTATTCATAGTAGAATATGATTGCAATAGTCCTGTGAAGGGGAGACCGTAGGTTTGCAGAAGACAGTAGAAGAGAGAAGGGTGGGGCAGGCCTTCGGAGGGAGAAGAATGCTGCAGGTGGGGAAGGCTGAGGGGGAGTGAGTGTTCACTAAAGTTAGTACATAATATTAAAGCAGGAATTAGGGAAGAGAGGGTTGGAAAATGTTCTGAAGGACCTTATGCAGTATGAGAGGGCAAGTAAGAATTGAACCTGTGGACCAGGATGTCCTGTCTCCAGCACTGTCCCTACTAACATTAAACATTTAGAATGGTGAATCAATAGAAATATGGTTTGTAATTAAAAATTTCCCCATAGCCATGTTTAAAAATTGTAAAAAAGTAACAGGTGAAATTAATTTTAATGATAGTTTATTTAACACAATATATCTAAAATATTATTTCAACATGCATCAGTATAAAAATTATTAATGAGACATTTTATATTCTACCTATTAAATTTTCCAGCTCTGGTGTGCATTTTACGCTCCCAGCACATCTGACTTTTCATTGAAACACCTGATCTGTATTTAGATTTGATAACATTCACGGTTGAAAAAATAGATTTACAACCAAAGACATTGTATGCATATATGCATAACCCATGGACACAGACAATAGGGTGCTGAAGACCGGAGCGGAGGGGAGGGGGGGAGGGGAGACACAAGGGCTGGCTTGCGGGGTCAATGGGGGGAAAAAAAAAGAAAAGTAGATTTACAAACCTAAGTTGCTGCATACATACTTATGCTTTCCAACTGACTCAAATGATAAGGAAGTTTATATTAATTAAACCTAATTGAAATAAAAATATTTAATCTTTCAGTTGCACTTAACAGATCTCAAATCCTCAATAGCCACATGTGACTAGCAGCTGCCGCATCAGACCACAGGTCTGGAATATGGATTCCTAGACTTCTGGATTTGTGTCTTTGTTTTGTCCTCACTGTCTGTGAAAAAAATGGACCCCCAACCACCCACCAAGTGCTGCTCCACTAACAAGATCCTAATCTGTTCCCTCTTATTTCACAGAACGCTCTGAAGATGAGGGAGAAGGTTGAGAATCCAACATCTGTGGAAGGGAAATGGGGGTTTGGCTTGGACTAGACGAGGAGTGCGGAAAATGAGATATGAGTTGGAAGTATTCCATCCTGATTGTTACTCCGTGTTCACACGAGGAGTCTGTGGTTTCCTTCCAAGCCGGGTGCGCCGGAGACTGCACGGATGGCGCACAGCACAGCTCTTGATGGCGCCATCTCCCATTTTAGCAGTTCCCCTTGAGCTCTGAGCACTGACTGAGTCCAAAACACTTGGGTGTGGCTGCTAGGTCTGGTCCTCATTTCCTGCATTGCAAAATGGGGAAAGTAATCCCTTATTCGGGGGAACAATGGGAGGGAATTGGTGAAATCCCAACTGTGAAGCTACAGGGAAGGCGGAGTGTCTGTCCCAGACTTGGAGACCGTGCCCGCCTCTGCCTGTGGCTCATCTTCTGCTCCCAGCTGGGTGCTGGCAGCCTGTGCTTTCAGGCCACACTCAGGCACCGATTGCCTGCCTTGCATCTGACAGATCCATCATGGGGTGCTGGGGTGATGGAGGTTCTAGAGCATCCTTTAGAGATGTAGAAAGAATTCCCTCCTTTGCTCTGAAGGGTCCTACATCTATTACTTGGAGGTCCAGGTGAGATCTGGTGGGATCCCCACGCCAGCACAAGACCTGATCACCTTGCTTCCTGGCAACAGTATCTACCAGTATAGCCATTTCTAGAAATGGAGTCACACAAATGGATGATCACTCACACACACACACACGACACTGATGAGTATGATATGGTATTGCTGTATTGCTGGCATCCCCAGACTATATGGCACATTAGCTTAATATTCAGGTTGTACCTTAACCCCTCACAGGACAAGAAATGTAAAACTTAGATTTCTCCATCCCCTGTGTACAAGCCTGTCTTTCAAACCAATGTCCAGTCACTACCCAGGAGGGCTGCACGGAAATGAATGTTCCCTTGACATCCTCTGCTCCTGCCTCCTTGACACTCTCGCTTGGTGAAGCTGCCATCTTGATGTGGCCCTGATGAGGTCTCTGTGTATAGACTCGGAGCCTCCCCAGGAAAGACAGTGTGTTCTGGGAGGTAGAAACACGCAGGTAGAAAGCACTCCCCTCCGCATACACAGCACACAGCTGTCTGACTCAGCCTGTTTCCCCATCTTTAAATTGGGGAGAAACTCATGAGATTTTTTTTCTTCCATCTTAGTGGAAACTGGCCATACCTTCTTCATCCCTGTGAAAATCAGAGCTACACAGGCTCTGGCCAGCTTCTTTCCCTCTTCCAGTTAAATATCGACCAGTTAATATTTGCTTGAATTCAAACTGCATTTAACTATGAACCTAATGACTGAATTTACTAATTTCTGCAACAATACCTGGTACTTAGTAGGAGGTGGCAAAGAAATGGTTGTTCAATTGAACCTCACGGTCTCAGGTATAATTCCCATGAAAGAGACATGACATCAGAAGTGCGAGTTTTTCAGTTGCGAGGCATATGTCCAACGACTCCAAGAACATTAGTTGTGCTTGAAATAATTATTGATCTTCATTAACAGTGTTAAAAGCATTGCTCCGATGTCCAATTGCTTGTCATGCTCCCTTGGCCTGCTGCACAAAGGACTTACAGCGTGGTTCTTTCCCAGGAGAGCATTATTCAAAGCAAGACATAGAAAACACATTTGGGTACAGAAAACCCAAGTACAGACAGCTGAGCAAATAAATCAACAGTATGCACAACGACACAGGACTCACAGCGGACTGCTTTGGGATGTGCAGCAGACCTGCCCCCCTCTCTCTCTTCTTCTCAGAGTTCTCCAGATCCTGCTCTGTAACTGGGCACAGGCCCTCCCAGGGTCCCGGGCACACGCCAGGGAGGAAGAGAGCCTTTGAGTTTTCTGAAGCATCTATGTTAAGATTTATATTTTGCAAATAAGGTTTTTAGTATTTAAAAATGTGTAACATCTGTATATCTCATTGTAGAAGATTCTATCACTAACATATTAAAGAAGAAAGTAAAATTACCTGAAATCTTAGCTATCAGAGAAAATCATTGTATTTTCTTCTCTGTGTGTGTACATGTGTATGTGTGTATAACCTGATTTATTTCACTTTAGAATATATTCTAATCATCTTTTTATGTCAATATATTTAAGAAAATATTAATTATTTTTATATTGGGTATACTACAATTTATTTAACTAACCCCCTATTCATGGATATTTAGAATGTTTTCAATTTAAAAAATATTTTACAATGTAGTCATGAAACATTTTTTCACATATATCCTTGCCTACTTATTCAACCTTTTTTTTTTTGTTAGTCCTCACTGAAGGATATTTTTTCCATTTATTTTTTTATTTTTTTTTATTTTTTTAGAGAGAGTGGAAGGGAAGGAGGGAGGGTGAGAGAGAGAAAAAGAAAGAGAGAGAAACATCCATGAGAGAATAGACACATCAATTGGTTGCCTCCCACATGGGCCCCGACTGGGGCCAGGGATGAATCTAGCAACCCAGGTATGAGCCCTTGATGGGAAT